TGTGCACTCACGCGTGTTTTCCTCTCATGTGTTGGCTCTCAGCTCACTGGCTGTGTCTGATGAAAGAGAGTGACATTTTCTCAGATGTGACTCATTTGCACTCTGCGGGCCAAATAGGGCAAGAAGGGAGCGAGCGAGGGAGGGAATGACAAAGGGAGAGTCACAGACTATATAATTCACTCTTCATCTCACATACAGAAAATCAGATCCACTTGTGACTCGACGGTCCTTCTCAGTGCCTGTATTTTGTTTGCGTGTATTTTGTGCGCGTGTGTATTTGTGTGCCACTGTGTGTGCAGGTAAGTGATGCAAAATAGTGAATCATGCATCAGATTTGACAACTGTTAAGTGTTGTTGCTCTGATCCCAACCTTCACAAATAACATTTGTTCAGAACACTTGCTGCGGGGTTGTATTTGTTTGTGTATGAACTAGCGTCATTAGGGGGAGGCCCGGGTACAGTTTTGTTTGGTAGTGGGGGGAGAGATAGCTAGGATGCATTATGTCTCAGAGAAATTGTTGTAGTCATTGTAACCACCAACTAGCCAACGACCCTTCCATTGTAGGTTCCATAACCAGAGACCAGAGTAAAAAAAAACATGATTGCTGACCTTACACTGAACTGCCTGGTTACTATAACAACTGACAGCTTAGCACAGCATGTATTGGCTAAACAACCAGAGTCTGACTCAAAGCTGGCCTGTGAACTAAATTCAACCTTGGACTTTTGTCTGGACCAGCTCACTATCATGGTCTGGAGTGACTGCTAATAAGCTAGCTAGTTAATTAGCCAGATTTGGTGTGATACTATAAAAACATTAATCCCCATCTGTAGAATTTACAAGTAGACTAAATGAACTGGCTAGCTAACTAACTAAGCAAAGGTCTCACAGGTTCTAAACTTACACCCTTTTGCACCCTGCAAATATTAGCTCTAAAATATCCAAACAAGTCGTGTAGTTTCATGCATTTCTCTGCATCTTGTTCAAATAACTTCCTGTGTTTTTATCACACCCTTCATGTTTTTAGGGGTTTTCTCCATTTCTTTCTATCTAGCCTTCATGGTTTACCTTCCCATTGTTGCCATCTTCTCCGTTCTCATTGTGCTTAGTTCTGGCTTGGCAACTCTGAGAATGCATTGGACCACTTACATTTCTATGTCCACTTCATTTGTCCCAGGTGGTATCCATTCATTTTAAATGGGACTATCTTAGAAGCTAATTAGCCAGGTGAATACTTGCAGCATCTCTCTTTCTGGAAACCAAAATGCCCACCAGGAATTGTCCTTGTCCTCCTGATGGCCACTCCATTCCTAGCCTTACCTTTTACAGCACTATGCAGAGACATCTAAGACGAATGATTCAAGACTATGATGTCCTCACCTTTTTCACAGTGCTGAACTTTACTGCCTAACTAGCTCACTAACTACGTGAGTCATTAGCTTGTTGACAAGGAAGTGGCCTATGCTGAATTCTCACACCACTGCAGAGTTGGTATAAAATAGCAAAAGTAGACTACTCAACCGATGACGACATGGAAGCTTGTAAATGTTGCCAATGTGATAGCGGTGGGAAAGCGTTGGTGGTCACTTTTATTTATTTAAGGTTAGTTTGCACAAGGATGGAAGAATTTTGTGGGATTATCCTGTATTTTAAGAGCACAAGTCAAATTACATGTTGTGACATATTTGGTGGTATCTGAGGACTTCTTTTGATCAGTCAGACATCTTGTGGGGCCTTCCTGTCTTCTGCCACTCCATGGCACTTCTGGATGTAAACCAAAGTAGCTTCCAAAATCAAGAGAAAGAAGCAGACTACTGCATGTTATTCATCATATTATGAACTATGCAGCCATGGGAGGCTCAGGAAGTGTGGCCATGCAGAGGGCTATGCAAAGAGGTTCATGGGAAGTGTGCGCTCCCCTTAAAAAGGGACATTGTGCTGTTAATGGAGTCTAGTGTAGTGCTTTGCATTTGCCTTTCTGCCTGACGTTTTACGTGTGTATAATATATATATACACACATATATATTACACCATATATATATATATATATAATATATATATATATATATATATATGGGCTTAATACACGTTAACATATTAATTAAACATTGAAACATTGTTACTTGGGGTTCTATGTAAAAATACTACACTAGTACACTGTTTCATTTTTTCTCCCATCCTTACTAATCACCATAAGCTAAATATCCTGTCATATTGTTTCCATAATCCTGCATAAAAATCATGTGTAAAATGTCCCCGCATTTGCCCCTAATGAGCCAACTATCCATGTCACAGCTCTCTGCTGGAGCCATCTTGGCATAAACATGTCAGAGTAGGTTTCAGTGTTTCCTATTCAGAGCCATGGAGCTAAAATGAGCCGTGGCAGGAAATGAGCTTTTGATTGTGTTCGGCTTCTACATGCAAAGTGAGTTTTGTCTTCCGCAATTCTGCGAGTGCTGAAAAGGGATTTTTGCATGAGCTTGGAAAAAAAAAAAATCACAGCTCCTACCATCACACCCGAGCCTGGCTGATTTTGTCAGTGGGAAAGTGTAATAATGAAACCTCAACAACTGTTTTTAGTTGAAAAAAAAGAAAAAAAAAAGGACAAAAAGAAGAAAAGCTCCTGCGCTGTGACAAAAAAGATGCCGTTGATCCTGTTATCCTGCACTGACACCAAGTAACAGTGTGCAGCGGTGCATTTAGGACAGATTTGCATTTGAAGTCGTACTGGAGCTGGATTAGTTTTACCTGAGGAGGTGCTGTAATTTCAGTGATTACCAACAAGATCAGTGAATCCAGTACAAATCTGCAGTGTCCAGAGTTTTTAGCAGTGTGCTATGTAATGATTCTGGAGTAAATAACCTTCTATAATCCCGCCTCACAGTAATCCACTGATAAGCAACTCTATTTTTTTGGTGACCAAGAGAAAAGGCTAACTGCTAAGTTGATGCTTGACTTGACCCAGTTCTTTGATCCTCAAATTGAAAACAGGCCTACTGTAATCTAAAACATTTCTTGGTAATGACAAAATCAGAGAATGAGAATGGAATATACCTTGAAAGAATCTCTCACAGGAGAATTGTGTGCTGTTGGGTGACATTTGTTAAGTTGAAAGACCCCACTTTAGTAGCCTAATGCTATTCTGATTGGTTATAACTGGGTTAGTCTTTGTTGTTTGCTTGCTTGTTTAGACCAGCCTAATTTCAAACCTAATGCTTGTGTCCAGGCTGTCACCCTTTGATCCGGGCTATCTGAGGTAATTTGGGAAATTACACAAATACTTTATCCTATGCGAGTCGGCAAGTCAAATCTCTTACAAATTACATTACTAGACCTCCTCTGGTAAAACTAATCCAGCTTGAAAGGGGCTTAAAATACATTTTAGTAGTGTTTTTAACACTTTGTAACAGGCCTGTAACCAGGGTCAGAAATTTAGTGAGGTCCATATTGCAGAAATGTGACCTACTTCACACACTGCATAAACCACTCTGGTAACATAACCACTCTGACTACAACAGGGGTCGGCAACCAAAATGTTAAGAAGAGCCATTTTGTCCTTTCAATAAAAATCAAACCACCTTGGGAGCCACAACATTTTATGTTCATTTTGCCATCTTGGCGTAAATACGCTCAGTATGTGCTGATGTACTGGTATAGGCTAAAAATATCATATAAATGAAAACGCAGACTTACTTTCTCTGCTTTAAGCTTCAGCTGCTTTTCTCACATCTCTGGCAGGAAACTTTTCTCAAAAGTAGAACAGTTTCTTGAAAATGTCTCTCAACATTTGACTTTTTAAAAGGCTGAAAAAGAAATCAGCTCCTCATTTGCCAGCTTCTTGTTCTAATTTCTCGGTTCCACCTTAAATGCTGCCTGAGGCGCCAGAATGTAACTGCTACACCATTTAAGGTGGAACAGGGCCAATTCAAACAAGAAACTGGCAAATGAGAAGCTGAATTCAGCTTTGCAACTTTTTAGTGTTCGTGTTTTCGTGTTTAATGTTTAGTGTTTTTTTTAGTGTTCAACAATTTCTCATTGCAGATTAAACGTATCAGGAAACTAGCGAGTTCTTTAAATGCAAATTATCGATGTTCTGTTAGAACGATCAGCAGAGCTTAATTTTACTGCAATAGAGGATTGTTTCATTTTTACCTAAAAATCTAATTCTGCTGTGGGGACACAACAGGGCAATAAGAGAGCCACATGTTGCCGACCCCTGGACTACACCATATGCAAACTGCCGATCTCCTTTAACCCTTTTACCACAATACTCCTTTTTCTTTGTATATATGTTTCACCCATTCTTCCATAAACTGCGTGGAGTCCAGTTAGATTGTTTAATGTTGTTTATTTAGTTTTTAAATATATATTTACCAATTTATTTTAAGCTAAACCTTCATCCTGAATCATTTGGTAGTTTCAGTTTGCTTTAGATTTGTTTAATTTATTATCAATTAATAATCAGTAGAACAGTAAACTTTTTATTGTTCATGTAAATGAAGTTTATTTAAACAGTGGAATTATACAGGATTCTTATTCTTCCTATTTAGCTTCCAGTGAGTCTATTCAGGATTGGTGGAAGGGCGTAGGGTTTCAGACATTGATTTGTAGCCCACCCATTGTGTGCTTACTGAGTGCATTCCAGCACGCCGTATTTTATCCACACGCTACTGAATGTTGGATAACTTTCTTTCTCTGTGGAAGCCAGAGGAAGGCCTATCATTCATCCCCGACTCTGCTGATGAATGAAAAACAATCTGCACTTTCCTGCTTCTCTTGCTTTCGGCACCATGAAGTGCAGGCACTTCCCTTAGTCAGTGCTTTTTTGGCTTGATTAGAATCAATTGCCCTCCGGTGGGTAAATAAATATGAGGCAATGGGAACCTCTATTCAAATGTCTCGACAATCGCTTTGTCTTAATGTGCATTCTTTTTCTCTCCCTCTTTCTTTCCATCTCTCTCTCTCTCTCACTCTCGCTCTCTCTCTCCGCTCTGTCAGGTTGCTGTATGACTGATCGACCGTGAGCAGATGACTGTGGTGCCGAGGGATCAGACGCAGTAAAATCGAGGCAGCCTCTGTTGTCCTGTGGGGAAAAGAGAGGAGAGAGAGAGGGGGCGAGAGAGAGAGAGAGAGAGAGAGGGAGGGAGTGATAGGGCTGAGAGAAGAACTGCGTCTGTCGTCAGTCCCCCCGCGTCTCACAGGTACGGCTGATTTCGATTGTCATATAGCAGGCCCGGTCTGCACCGCTGGCTTATGTGTCGTTCACAGGGCCTTGTGTTTTTGTCCTACTTGTGGAGGACGGGAACAGTGTCACACCTCCAAAAGAGCTTTCGCACCGCTCACTTACCCCTCACAGTTATCTCCAGTGATAGCATCATGCTGTAATTCTATCTGAGCCCTATCGAAACGAGCATCTCGCCAGCGATCTTAAAATCTAGCATACGCATGTACATACTGGCCCCATTAAAACATGTCAGCATTTAGAGTCAGAGCTTTTAGTGTTACCATGTTTTATATTACTGTATAAAAGATGCACAAGGCTTTCTTTATGGCTGAATGTGCTGTGACTCTTTCTGACTGAACAAGGCCATTCAGAGCGCAGTTAGGATTGGTAAGTGCTTATAATTGACTGAATTATGAAAAAGAGCAATGAACAAAACATGACTGTTTGAAGTGTGACTAATCCTATTGTAGTTTGTGACACAAATTAAATAAAAATCTACTGTTTTTTGGCAATCATTTATTGAATAAACGCAACAATAGCACGTTATTAATGGGGAAGACCACTTTAAACTGCAGAAATAGCTGCATTTATTGCATGTGCTTTAAAAATCAAATTGTTTCTTGCATGTAGCTCACTAAAACGAGCCCACAAGTGTGTTCCTTTGTAGCTACCTTGTAGCTATCACTGTTGTGATCCTGGACAGGTTTTTCAGATCATCGACTGATATTTCATACGACCCTGTAAGTAATGCTGTTCCATGCCTCATAGCAGAACTGCTATAAACAGTGGCCGGTGGCCGGTTGCACCAGTGTGCGTAAGTTCAAACATAGGCTAGTTGTATTGTAATTTCAGGTTTATGCATTACTAAATCAGACTGAGTTGCACCACACACTAGTTTTAACGTTTAGCTTAGTAGTTACTAAATATTTACACCTCCTTCTGAGCAGGTGGACGTTTTGGGGAAACCGTCAGAAAACATGCACAAAAAAGACCAAAAACATGATTTTTTGGTTAACTAAGCTAAAAACTCTGTGATTTTACTTACAGCTCTAATCATCGCCCTGGTTTAAACTCTGAGAATGAAGATAAACACCCAGAGCTCCAGCTCAGTGAGACTCAGCAGCTGCACAAACGGCTAAACTGAGGCTGTTGTTGTGTCGGTTATCCAAAAACCGTTGTTTAAAAAGCTTCATATTTGGGAAATAATAAAGAATAAACAGACAGTGGCTGTAGCTAATTAGTTTTATTTTGTTTACCTTGTAGATATCATTCCTTTCTGTGCTGGATATTTTGTTCTATTGAAAAAGTTAGAGCAGCTGCTGCTGCTGCGTTTCCATGGCAGCGTGTTACTGATGTTATGGTCACTGTTAAAGCGACATACATATTAGTCGGTTGTTACTAGTTAAGACATGACTTGTGGAAACTAATTGGAAACTAACTAGTGCAACTAAGGACTTCATAAAGACTTTACGCCCAAACTTAAGTATAAACTTATGCAAACCTGGTGCAAAGCAGTCCAGGTGACCAACAGTGGCCTGCAGCCATGTAAGCATCATAATGTAAACCCAGCATAAATGTAGTTTTTTTGTCAAATTATGCTAATTTAGAGTGCATCATTTATATCTGCAAACTGCATGAGGGAAAGATTTTTTGCTGAACAATTGAAGTTTTTAGTGGTAAACATCTGATTGATAGACTAAGCAAAAAGACTTACCAGATTCAATCAATCAATTAATCAATTAACCTTTATTTAACCTTGGAGAACATTGAGGGTGACCCTCATTTACAATGTTGCTGAGTTGATACAGGAAAAATGGACTGATAATGTGTAAGAGCATATCAAATAATAAAAGTAAATTTAATAACAAAAATGACAAATCAGGTAAGTATAACAGTGAAGCATTAATAATAAAATACATTAAAAACTATAGAAAATATAAAACAATAATTAAAGCTGAATACTGTAACTAAAAGCAGATTTTCCCAGTTCACATTTTCAGTTGTTTTAATATTGCTAGCTAGCCGAGTTAGCATTGTAGCCTAACACTAGCTATTGCCAATCCAGCTAGTACATCCAATGAGCTGGACTGTTATCCTATATTGATACTGTTTTCAGTGTAACTGACCAATGATAATACTATCAATCAGCTACATTACAGTCACAGCTAGCCTTGGGGCACACATAGTGATGGCCTACTTGTTGACCTTGTTGATATTCAGTTGGTGACTGACAGCATGACACAAAAAAAATACCTCAACATCACCTTTTCTCTGCTAGCTTGATTTCTGTCCTGCTAATCAAGCCTGAACACAGCCTTATTAATCTCCAAAATAAGCCCATACATCTATACAAACTGGACTGAAATTTACAAAGTTTATAGCCTACAAAGCAGCATGTTCTTATTTTCATTTATTCATTTTTCCAGCAGTGTTAAATGCATCCCAGATACACACAACTTGGCTAAATTGCTCTGTTTTGTTGAATGAACTACTACCTGAAAGAAATGTAATTATACCCAAATGAATGAATGTAGTCAAATAGTATAGCAAAATGACAATACATAAAGTTCACACTGAGCGCTACAGTAAAACAGGCCGGCGTGTAGCTACTGTACACTGTTCTTCCTTTCTCACTCTCACATAAAGTGTCCTTGGGTTTGTGAACAGTGGTATATAAATAGAACATATTACCATTATTATTGAATCTCATGCACAGTTTCCTACTTGCAGTGGCCATTTCACCCCAGTCTGCTTTGGCATTTGTTCTCCTTTTCTTCTCTGCTTCTTTTTTGCTACATTCCCCCACTAATGCGCAGCAGTTTCGACATCGTCGTAGTGCTGCAGGAATCTGCAGGGCGGACTTGCAGTAAAGCTCCCACCTGGGATGGTCTCAGAGAGAGTGGGAGGTTTCAGGAGCGCTAGACAGAGGCGCGGCAGGGCGGCCCGCGACCTTTTGATACAGCTCCATTTCTGCAGCTGCTCAATCGATCTGGCCTCGCTGTTGGGGAAGCCGGAGCCCCGACAGTGAGGGCCTTAGAGTCCCCAGGGGCCCACACACTCACAATGGGACACTGCTCTTAACCCTGGATGTGAGAAGGCTTTCTGAGAAGTGCAAATGCCTCTGTGTGCAAGGCTCCTCTGAAGAGCTGCTCTTTTCGCTTCATCCACAGCCAGATTGCCTACAAAATTTTAAGGGTTCCAAATAGAGATGGCACCGATCCAATACCAGGTGTTGCTATCAGGCCAATATCAGCAAAAAAAATCCTGCATCTGATATAAATGAAACTGATTCAATCATATATATGGTAACTTTAAAGGAGAAGGAAAAAACATACTTTACTTTTATTGTAATTATTTTTACCATCATTTCAGTCCATATCTGTTGGTCCCAAAAATTCTGGTTCCATTGACTTAGATTAAAAGTAAAGTATGGTTTTTGCTTCCTGTAAAGTTATCATATATATATATATATATATATATATATATATATATATATATATCTTGTATCTCAGGTTTTTGTTGATTTTTTTTTTTTTGTAATTATAACTCCCGCTGCACTTTGTACCAATAGTAATAGGCAAAAATTATATATTAAAGAAATGTACATTACATTACTTGCATTTTTTTCCTTCTACTGTAAAGTTACCATTTTGGAGGTATGAGGTTTTGCTTTGACATTTTGCTGACATGGCATCAGATTTAATTTGACAAGTCTATTCAGCTTGTCAAAGCTTATTCTGCAGTCACAGGTTGCCAAGTCTTTGCAAAATCAGCACAGTATTGGTAGTCACATATTGCACTTCTATGTTTATATCTATGTAAACACATAACAAGATTTCATAGTTACGGTGCTATATTACATTGTAGTAAAAGATTAATGAGAAGCAGATATTATTCGACTCAAATCTGGTGCATTGCTAGACAATATGAAATTAAAAATTGCAATATCAGGGCAAACATTTAGCGCTGAGCGAGTGTTCAAACCCTGGCGACTGGGTTATGACATCTCTGCTTATTTGCAATGCAAAGCAGCACAGTTGCTGGGAGACAAATGAGCTGCGTGTGTATGTGTGTTGGTGTTTGCGCACGCATGTGTTTGTTTGTGTACACTGTTGCACACAGATCCTGTGATGGCACTTTATAGTTTGATGATGTGTCTGCAGACTGTTTATCAGCTTGTCCTTGCTTGGGCTCGCACGTTTGTGTGTGCGCTGTCTGACTAAAGCCTTATCTAAATCTTCTTTATTACTTTCAGCTTGTCTTAAAACACTGATTACTCCCTATTAGTGATTCCTCTCGCATGCGAGGTACGGCCTAAAGCTGGATGTGCCCTAATAAACTAGCTGTGGCTTGTCTATCATAATGCACAATTTGGACTACTCAGTGCCTCATACGGTCACTGAGCCTCTTATCTGCGCTTGAAGTAGCCGAGGGAATTCATCCTGAATGGAATACACAAGCGAATGTGGCGTTTGCATCTCATAATTGTGTCGCTTACTTTGAAATACAGGCTTTTAAATGATGCTAACAGACTGATTGATCAGATAAAATCAATGCTAACCTACTTCTTGGCTGTCGTAACAAAACCTTGTATCTCTGAAATGGAAACTTTATAGGAGAAGGACAAAAACATTCGTAGCTTTATTGTATGTTAATCTAATGACAGTTTATTGCAAGCAATTTTGGACCATTTCTATTGGTCCATTCATCCTGAAATGTATACGCAATTTAAAGAGGAGCTGGCCTTTTCAAATGAGATAAAAATAAACAATTTAATAATAAGTAAATGAGAATAGAACAATAAAGATTTTGATGTGACAATATATTTCTCTTATTAGCTATTAGATACATAACTCGCATTATTACTGTGATCATTGCTCTTATATATATATATATATATATATATATATATATATATATATATATATATATATATATATATATATGTGTGTGTGTGTGTGTCATTTTGTCATTTTA